TGGATTTATATATGTGAGAAATAATTTTTGTGTAATAGTATGTTATAACTGGAATAAAGATGAAAATTTTAGACAAACACTCTTTTTAAACTAGCAATTCTCTAGATTCTCTCTATAGGATACTTACTGAATACTTGCCTAGAGAGACATTACATCGCCTCTTCATTTCTTCATCACAATCGTTACAAAAAGAATTTATGACAAATAAAATCCTATTCTAATTTACATCAATAAAATAGAAACCTCGCATTACATACGAGGGGAGTGAGATGAGAAGAAGAAATACATAGAGAATTTAGAGGGAGGTGGGACAAATAGGTCCTATTTATTTAGAAACTTACAAAACAACCCAAAATTAAAGACAAACCATAAGTCTAAGGCTCATGTACTGGGCACCACGCAATTTTCAAACAAGAACATTCCATACATACAAAAACAAACATTTTTTAATTAGGTAGGTGAAATTACTAAATTACCCTCTTAGATGTGTAGAATAACTATTGGCTTAAAGGTTTTTGAAAACTGTAGTTTGGTCCCAATAGCATGCTCGCTAGAACGAAGGTTTATTTTGCCGCGACGAGTGTGAACTTCAACGAACTCCAAAAATTCCAAAAACTTTTTTGCCACAGGGAAGTTTTATTTCACCTCGGCGAGATTTCATGTTCTCATGTCTAGAAGTTCTAGAAAGTTTTTCGCCACAATGAAGTGTTATTTCACTGTGGCTAGAGTCCACAATCTCACGGTTGCCATGGCAGAGCTTTATTTCACTGTAGTGAATGACGCAGATATGTGAATGTACAATTCACGTTTTTGTAGTTTTTCGTGTAACGACGCAAATCCAAATCGAATCGAACACACCAGCATTCAACTAGGACATCAACCAACCAAAAGACTATTCATCAACACATTGATTAGCCAATTGATCATACAAATCACTCAAATTGTAGAATTTTACAGATTAAAAAAAAAAAATCAATATATGCAATAACATGTTATCAAACAAATACACATGTTATCAATCATCGATTAAACATTCTAATTTGGTACCTGAGGCTCTAACACCACTGTAAGTAACTGATTGGATTCACACAACAAAAAAATGACAAATTAAAATGAATCGATCAATTACTCAAACCCAAAATCTGGGTAAAGATTATAATGTTTACCAATATATTATAAAAATCAATTTAATAGTAAATCATCCAAGGATTCAGATTTACTTACGAATGTAGGAGGTTTCTTTAATGTCTCAGATTTTTTATTTCGCTTCCCAATTCAAAGTAGAATTGTACTCACATCGTCCACACGAAGACAATCCGTAGAACCCACTGTTGTTTTGCTAAAACAACAAGAAGGCTTCAAGAATCAAAAAGAGATAAGAATTTTCCCACCACTAATGTGAAAAATGTGAAAGGGAGAATGGTGGGTCGCTAGGGTTTTATTTTAATTGCTTGAATTATTATGTGTTTTAATTTAAGTTGCATTTATATAATGCAACATATTAAAACCCTATTCCACTAAGGAATAGCCATGGGCTCCAACCCTAATCCACCCTTGCAACCAAACAAGCCATAATGGTATTTTAATTTAACTAATTAATTAATTATTATTATTATTAAAATCCACAAATATTAATATATTAAAATATGTTAATATTAAATAATAATAATTCATTTAAATATATGTACACATATATTTAAATATAATCTCATCACCCATTTTAATTTCAATATTAAAATTGAATACAGGCTACAACCGTAGTAGTCTCGCAATTGACACCAATCAATCTTCTCACTTACACAAAGCAAGATTGGCCTCTAGCAGGGCATTATGACCACTCGATAGATTCAGATTCAACGAAATAGATACCTATCAATGATATGGTTACTGTGCAATCAAATCCTTTCATCATCCGTTATCTCATCAAGGCTGAGGTACAAAAACAGTGTCATCTTTAGATATCCTTGATATCTTTGTATTTAGTTACTAGACCAATGACTAGAATAATAAATTGAATTGAGCAACAACTCAATCCCATTGTGGCCACACATTTAGTGTCATTGTCATTTACTGAATTGCGCAATGAGATAACTTCTCCTGTACCCAAAAGTGGTGAATCCTTTGTTTATCTACCATAGTCTTGATACACTTATCGATGTAGCCAATGAACTACGTTGAACTGGTGTCAAACTACACCAATTGGTGCACAAGGCGCTCTGGTGATCTCAAGTCTAAGGATCATATGCACCACCATCTGTTAGAGGATTTATTCCATATACACTAGGGTTACCATTGATATGAAATCCTCTAGTGGGTCTGTCCAGTGAACTTGCCTACAACAAACACCCATGGGTTACATCAGGTTGTCAGCAAACAACCTTGATAAGTGAGACTAGTCACTGTCTTTCGACAAGGTCATTCAACACCATGATAGCCTTACTGTATTATTTGTGTCATTGGCAGAATAATATTGAGGCTACGAACATTTCTAGAATGGCCACCATATGTGATCATAGGGTTCTTACTATAAAGATTTGAAATACTTGATACGCTCGTCGCAGTTCCACCATCCTAAGGACATATATCAATACATGCAATTATGATTCACATGATATAGAAGAAAATGTCTTTTAATTACAAAGAGTCGATACTACAATAATTGATTGGCTCCAGGGCACCTACTATAACATAATGAAGCGATGAAAATGGAGAAGAGTGATGGAAATGGAGAAGAGTTGACAAGAGAACAGAGCGATGGAAAGGGAGAAGAGCTAACGAGAGAACAGAGCAATGGAGAAGAGCTGACAGGAGAAGAGCACGAATGAGAAGACAATGATGGAGAACAATATTGAAAAAATTGAAAATTGAAAAAATAAAGTAAATAAGGAAACGGAGAAGAAGAAATAGAAAATTAGAATAAAAAAAATAATTTTTCATTAATGATGTGGCATTGCCATGTCAGTTGCCACGTTACTTTGTATAGCCCTCTTTGTATTTGTGTTTATAAGACTAGTATTATTGGAAAAAAAAAAAAAACAAATAAGAGTAGCACTACACGTCGCGATTGGTCAACTCGTAATGGCTTCCATTTGCCTAGATACAAACTGACCAATCGTGAGTTGTCATTTCAGAGTTGTATAAAAAGGTTTTATAAAAAAGTTGTAATTGCAGTTTAATTGAAAAAATAAATATCAGCATGGCAAAATCTCCGGTTTTTACATTTGCATTCATGCTCATACTTAATTCCATGCTTCTTTTTACTCATGTTGAGGCCACAATAACATGCGAACAGATAACTTCCTGCTTTATGAGGAACTACTTGTCCCTACAAACTTATAACTTCTTCTCTTGATTATATGTTTAATAAAGAGGATGATAATTAATTGGATTAGATGCATGTTTGGGTTTGTGTATTGTGCAGGTTGAAGTAAGTCCAGGTAGGATCAGCTGTTGAAGATACAACACTATAATAAAGTAGCATAGTAAACAAGTCTTGACGTGGTTAATGTATGTACTGCAACATTAACAATCAAATGAAGTTTCAATAAGATCTGCTTATAGTGCCTTTTTCGTCGATAAATACTATTGTCATTCATGTACATAATTAGGTAAAAAAAAAAAAAAACTTAATCAGTAAAACAAATGTTATTGACGCAAATGCAATTCATAAATTCACTATTTGACCATGTTTCAACATCAATTTTTTTCACATGTTCCTAAATTTTGGATAATAAAATAATACGATAAATAATACATGAATCATGATTATGGGACTGACTACTTAAGTTAGATAAGTTAGGATATAAATTTGAAAAACATAGTATTCGTAAAATTTATCAAAAACTATAACTTGACTAGTAAGAGGTATGTTGAAGTTTGGTTAGCAGTTGTAAATTGACTTAATGTGAGGCGCGAATAACGGAGTCCAGGATGAAACAATTCAAGCTTAAGCAGTGATAGATTTTAGATAGTTGAATGAAGAAAGAAATACATGTAGGTCTTCTCTAAACGAACACGTTTTCGTAGAAGTTTCATGCTACGGAATCTGTTTTGAAACAATCACACTTGTTTCTTGGCACCTTCTTCAGCAAGTTCGTATTTTTCAGCTACACCAACTTCCAAAATCAACTCACGGAGTTGAACTGCCCTTATCTATCCCCTGAATATTCAACATCATTTTAATTATATCATCTTACTTTATATTAACCAATTATCTCTTCAACAATAGCGAAAATTAATATATTTATCTATACAACAATATTATTCTTCTAAAAATTTATCTCAAATTTCATTGATGCGACATCAAACGTGTCATTGAAGTAGATACAAAATGGTATATATTGAATGATATGTCATTGTTATATATAATACACATAATTTAATATGTGAAATTGGGATAAGTTTTTGGAATAAGTAATATTACTCTCATCTACCGCTCTAATTTAGAGTTAATATAAAAGATAATTGTTATTCAAAATATTTATGCCATACGTTATAATCTTTCACAATATCTATATAACATCAGTTCTACTATTACAAATCAGTAATATTTATATCATGAAAAATATCTTTAGAACTAAAAAGATCAACAATTGTTAAATTAAATATAAAGGATATTACGTATACAAATTACATATAGAAACATTTTTATATAAATTAATGTGACGCAACTCTTTTATTCCCACATTATTCATTTGTATTAATTAATATCTATTGAATTTATTTTGTAAACAAATTTATCCATTCATTTTATTTATTAAATATTTATTTTGTATAAGCTGATATGATATTTTTGTGACACCAAAACCGTCCATTTTCCTTCTTCATCACTAAATGCCAAGAAATTAATCATCTTCAGGAAAAGTCTTCAATGACTCATCACTCAATCTTCAGCAGCCCTTAGACAATTCTAAAATCCAAACATTTCCGTGGACCCACCTCAATTCTGGCGTTCTATATAAAGCCATAACCAAGAGTGACAAACCAAATTAACAAATTCATCGATTATCGCCATGGCCAGCTCTCAAAATTTGAAGGTGGCGTTCATGGCAGCGCTAATTGTGAGCATGTTAATGGGTGGTCGTCACATAAATAGTGTTGACGCAAAAATAACTTGCGAACAAGTGACGATTTGGCTGACACCGTGCATAGGTTATGGCGTGATGGGAGGAGTTGTTCCGGCGAGTTGTTGCCAAGGAATTAGAGCACTTAATGCTGCTTCAAACACCACTGAAGATCGCAGAGCTCAGTGTAATTGTGTTAAGGAAGGAGCTGCAAAGATCCCTGGACTTGACTACGATCGTGTTAACACACTTCCTGGAATTTGTGGCAGTAATTGTCCTTATAAGCTCACTCACGACCTTGACTGTTCTAAGTAAGACTTTTCACCTTCTTAAATTATTTTAGGGTTTATTTTATCGAAACCCAACCACCCAAACCCATCTCTCCTTCAGCCAGATCGCTTAGATGAGTTAATACTAAAAAATCAAAAGAGAGAAAATTAAATAAACCCTTTGTTCATAAACAATTATTTCTGCTTATTCTTTTTGTTTGTTAACAATACTATAATCACGATACAGGTATTTTTATTATAAGTTTATTATTGAATTTATAAGATTATAATAATGAATTTGCAACAAGAAAAAAAAATAGTGAATAGTAATTTCAATAATATAAAAAATTAATAATAAAATAACTTGTGGAAAAAATCATATATACTTTCAAGACATTGTAATTGAAAAAAACATAAAGGATTACAAGGTTATCGACACCATTGTTTAGTACCGAAATAGATGTTTAACAATTGACGTTCTATGATAATCTTGTCATATCATTTTTGACATTGAATAGATGTATTCGCTATTTTGAATTTTCTAGACAAAGTATATATAACAGTTTTCTTGATGTGAAACCTTTTGTTCTAAGTCACTAACTAATTTTGTTTCACGGGTGTGATTGTTGTAATGCAGGGTGAATTAAGGATGTGGTGTTGAGCAAAGTCAAGAGAGAGGATAAAGCTTTTACTGGGTAGTAGTGTAGTGATTAAATAAAGCCAATGTATTATTTTGGCATATACAATTATACATGATAGAGTTCAATGTAATGAACTTTAATATGTAAACAATAAAATAAATAAATAGCTTCACGTGCAATCTTGCAAATTTCTTAATTAATCTTATGTGCAATTTGTCATTAATTTATATATATTGATACTTGATTTTGACACCAACAATCTCTGCATGTATAAAATGCTAAGAAGTCACATGTGAGTTAATTAAACTTTGTGGGTGAGGTACTATATGCACAGTGACATGCAAAGACATAAATATAAAGTTGACAAACGAATTTTTATAGTGTTTTAGATGTTTAAAGCAAATTTTACATCCATTATGTTTATTTATATAAATTTGCTTCTGGTCGTTAGATAGGCTTACAAGAGGTCACGAACTGTGATCTGGTATTACAAATATTTGATGTTCTAAGTGTTCTTAGAGAATGTCAAACCAATCCATTTCTAGTAGTGTGTTTTTGCTATCTTCTTTATTGAATTCGTGAGAGTCTGATCCTGATTTTATGAGAGGGAGCTGTCTATTTATACCCATTTTGCTTAAGGTAATGATTACACTTTTGCAAATAGCTTGATGCTGTGAAGATCTCTCTTGTCTTCCAATTCGTTAAGAACTCAAAAAATATATTTACATTAAATGGAGCTTGGACAGGTGTACAAACTAAATTTATCTAAGAACAAATTCTTGAATCGGCTAGATTGTTGACAGTTATATTCTTTTTGCTTTTGGAGACACGGTATGTTTTGGACGATGGAATGCTTTTTCAAATTTTGATTGATGCTTGATGATATTAACATAGGTCAACCTTTATTTTTAGGTATAACAATATATATGGAAGTAAGTGCGAAGAGAAGAGGTGAGCTTGATAGGATTCGGACTTCGAAATCTAAAACCAATTCAATTTATTAGACTTATGGAATTATTGGATGGGATTAAATGTAAAACTTTTAAATCATAAAAACTAAGTAACTCTATATATGAAAATTCATCAAGATTAGACATTTGTTTGTGAAAAAATTTTAATGTGATCCGCAATGAATTTAACATTCCAAATTGTTCAAATAATCAGTCAAAACTTTGAGTTTCGAATTTCATGATCCAATTTTATTTTATTTTATTTTTTAGTTAAACACTCCTAATACACCCCAAAGCAGAGTAGGGTGTAAAGCCCCAAAGTAACCCTAGCTTGCCCAAGGACCAGGTTGTAGCAAAAGAACCAAAATTGAGCCAGGTGACTCAGGACTATCTAAAAATAGATTTTTTTTTTTTTTTTATATTTTTGCGCCGGGGGAGAGGGGGTGTGCCCCAAGATAATTTTAACGGCAAAAATTGACGGTAGAAGGTCTAAGGTTCTAATTCCAAAGTTAAGGGGGTAAGTTTGTTTTTGATGTTGTAGGGGATGTAAGTCCACCAACCCAAATAAAAATTATTGAACATATGAAAATATAAAATTAATTTTGAATTGAAACCTTCCACGTGCAGCCAAATTATGTATCCGGAGTTGCTAACACTTTCATGGTTGTATAGATATGTTATTGGTAAAATATTATTTGTTATTAATGTAATAATTCACATTATAAGACATTATTTCTATAATGTTAATAAACCTGCAGTATATCATAACCAATTGAAAATATATTTTATCTAACAAAATAACCAGACTTAATTTATTCGACCCTTAGGTTTTGGAAAGTCAATTACTCCGAGTAGAGGTGGGCAAGGCCCAGTCCCAAATTCAAGGACCGGGCCCAAATCCTCAAGGGCCGGTCTTGGGCCCATGAGTTTTATTAGGGCCTGAACTGGTCATAAGATCGGCCCTATGGGCTTGGGAATTTTTAATTTAGCCCCCTAATTTTTTTTATATTTGGAGTAAATAGATATTTATGTAAGGGGGTTTATGTATGTTATCAGGGGATTATTTGTAAATTTTTAATTAATTAGTAAATAAATATAAATGAATGGTTTTAATGGTTTTAATTTAAAGAGATAATTTAATTTTAGCTTCGCAATGTGAAAATTTAATTTGAACTCAAAGAATTAAATAAATATAAATGGATTGTTATAAATTTATATGGTTTTAATTTAAATAGATAATTTACTTTTAGCATAATGTTCAAAATGTGCAAATTTAATTTAAACTTGAACAATTAAATAAATTTGTTTTTATTTAATTATTAATTTACATCATCGAAATCTATGTTTTTGAAGTGGTCGAGTAGTTCGGGATTTTCAAGGTGGTATTGTAGTCTTCTGTCTCCATGAATCCAATCCCATAAACATGTAATGACTTCAACCATCTCATTGGTTAAAGAGCATCTTCTGTCTTCAATAATGCAGTCACTAATTAAGAATGTTGACTTGGGTGTAATTGTGGAAACTAGCACACATAAAATGTCAAGTTCCATTTGGGCTACAATGAGAATCAACTTACATTTTGGTTCCACCATTGAAGCACATCTGTCTCGCATTTCTCCTTCTTGGTGATGTAGGATATGTCCATTTGCATATACCATTGCAGCTCATTTGGTCCATGTCTTTACGTGCTAGAGTTGTTACATCCACCACCACCGGTACTAAGTTCCATATATGTCCAGATGCTCGATCCCTGTTGATGAATGTCTTCATCAGTTTCCTGCTAGTCGTCTTTGATGGGCATTCCACTGTACCTATTCTAATAGAAATAAAAAAGACTTTCCAATTTTTTGTTAAACTTTATCAAATAAGAACTGTATTCATATTCTAAATGCTAGCCTATCTTAGTAATTATACAATTAAATATGTTTATGTAGGGATTTAATTGAATAAAGTGTGGAATAACAACAAAAAAATTTCATTCGAAACCCATTTTTATCCTGGATGATAGATTGATGTTGATAACCCATTCATAAAAAAATATACATAAAGATTAAAGTAACGTTATAATCAAACCTTCGATTGGAGGCTCCAACACTTTTGATTGAACAGAAAAATGCTCGCATCTTCAAGAGAAGTGAACACATAGAAATCTAAACAAAGACAATAAGACCCACACAATCAATTTGCTAGTTTGAGAGTGAAGGTTCAAAAAAGAAAAAGAGAAGTTTTTCTAGGAAAAACTCTCTCTACAAATCTATCTTGGGTGGCAAGAATGGGCTTAAAAGGGAAATGGGGTTAAGATCCCCTTTTTATAGGGAACCCTAACCCTAATATTCCCTTGGCATATGCCAAGGAATATTCCCTTTTATTTCCATTAATATTTATTATTATAAATAAATAATTAGATTTTACTTAGTGCCCAAGATAAGGTTGTTTTTGGTATTTTATTATTATTTCGTTATTCATAAAATAATTATTCATTATTTAAAATGCATGTACACCAATATATTACTTAAATAATAATTTATTTTTTCCTTTTAATATATATACACCTATATATATATACATATATATATATATATATGTATATATATTTGAATAAATAAGTAATCTTACAAATTAAAATTGGACATAGGCAACAACCTATCAGGCAATAACCTTCAACAAATTTAATTGCACCGTAAGAATTACCAAAATACCCTTCACCCCAAAATGATGAAAATGCCCCTTCAACAAATTTGATTTGTCTTTTAAGTGTGTGACTTGTAGGCTCCTATAACGATCACATGGAGGTACGTAATTTAAATTATGCTCTTATACCTTTAGTTGATTTTTGCTAAAGTTATTTTGAGAAAATAAGAAGAAAATGTCTTAAACTTGCATTAAGGGTGAAATGGTCTTTTCACTCAAAATTAGTTGAAAAAGTGGGGAGTGAAAAGAGATAGAATTTCATGGAGAATGCAATAAAAATGAGGGCATTATGGTAATTGACTAAATGACAGATGGAATTTTAAAGAAAGTGGAAGGGCAAAATAGGAAAGTATGCATATTAATATGAGATATTAAGAGTTCAAGCAAAAAGACCCTATCATTCTCTACTCCTTCTCACGCCACTTCACTCTCAATTTCTCTCATCTCTTCATCAAATTACCAAGGGATTTTAGAGGGCTTTTGGTGGGATTTTGGTAGAGATTTGATCCTAAGCACCCAAAGGTAAGAATTCTTGCAATAGATGTGAGATTAATTTTTAAGGTGTTGAATTCTTATAGTGTTTATGCTTAGGGTTTTAGAGAAAGAACAAGTCTACCAAAGAAAGAGAGATTCTTCTGTGGAATTACTCAAGCACAAGGTAAGTAAATCCCACCCAAGTTATGATTTGAGAAATCAAGTATGTAGAGATTTTACATATATGTTTATGTTTATGATTTTGAGAATTGTTGATGAAATTGATGAATTATTGATGAGTTTAATGATTATTGATGAATAGAATTTAGCCATGAGAAGTGGTTTTGGTTGTATGATGATTAATTGAAGTTTGGTTAAAGTTAGAAAGAGTTGAGTAAAATTTTTGGGGGTGTATTGTTTTGGACAGGTTTGATAATTGTTTAAGGGAGTTTTACTCCAAATATTGGTGGCTTGAGAAAGAAATAGAATTGTAGTCAAATTAGAGTTTGATTATGCATGCAATATGTTTGATGAAATGTCCAAGAGAAGTGTATGCATGAGTTTTATTCATTTATGAATTGATATGAGTTTGTAGATGGTAGAGAGAAACTTATTTTTATGCTACATGGCATCCTTGCCTTTAAACATTTGCATTTAGCAAAAATTATAAGCATGAAACCATCTACATGCATACATATTCATAAGAGCATGATGAAGATTGAATCTTTATAAACTAGACAAATAGTGATTTAATTTGTTATATTATACACTTAATTTGGATAACTGTAGCCCCACTGCCGAACCATTCCTTTCAACATCACACACATTTTAGCTTCCACTGAACAATCAATAGTAAATAGACCATAACTTGCTCAATAAAAATTCAATTCATGGGACGTTTGCATCTTAAGAAACTAGACATACAAGGCTTTAAATTGGTATATTATATGCTTAATTTGAATAACTTTAGTCCCACTACCGAACGATTCTTTTTATCATCATACACATTTAGGTTTATCTTGTTTCTCTATTTTCACTTAACAGTTAGTAGTAAATTAGTCATAACTTGCTTAATAAAACTCTAA